TGTCCCAAACACACACACACACAAACACACACAGAGGAAGCGCTATCAACAAACATATTTATTCCTTCGGTAGTTCCAATCCAAGGCATCACCACATGACCGCGAGGAGTCGTTTTTCCGCGGCAAGGCCATTTCCAAAGCCATCAAGCCGTCTCACGCGCACATCAGGAGGTCGACTGGGAAACATTTGTCACACGAGCGCCAAGAAGAGTCCGGTTGGTGAGCGCGGACCGCTGCACCGCACCAGCACCGGCACCGCACTGGCACGGTCCTCAACAAGGCAAACTGGAACCCTGCCTGACAGGAAGCCTGTATCCCCATTTACATATCTCTCATACACCCCACATGCATACATCCCAGGCACACTTAGCACGGGTGATGTTAACCCCCCCCTGCAGACAGCGCAGTGTGTATGTCTGTATGTCTGTGTGTCTGTGTGCGCGGTCTGTCTCACCTTGAACAGCTCGTTGCCCTCCACGCGGATGGCCTCCCCCGCACGTATCCGGAACTCCGGCTCCGTTTCCCCTGGAAATGGGGGGCACAGGAGGGGGGGTGCATGCACACGGCGGGGGAGAGGAGCGGTGAGGGTAGACGGGAGAGAGAGGAAGAGGGAGAGAGAGCACGAGGGAGAGAGAGGACGAGGGAGAGAGAGGACGAGGGAGAGAGAGGACGAGGGAGAGAGAGGACGAGGGAGAGAGAGGACGAGGGAGAGCCGGGTGCATCACTTGCAGAGCTCCTCAAGAAGCCAGTTGCCCACCCATGCCAAGGGAAGGGTAGATGGTAGAGAAGGGAGGGCTGCCCCGTCCCTCATTATCCTGCCAAAGGGGAGGAGGAGGTGCAGGAGGAAGGCGACGAGGGGGAGAAAGAAGAACAAGAGGAAACTGCAGAGGCAGAAGAAGAGGCGTCCGAGTCCATGCAGATCCAACCGCATCACCCCAACTGACAACAACTAACATTAAAGCACCTTGAACACCTGGAAAACTCCCACAAGCTCCCTCCCCCTCGTCCTCCTCCTCCCCCTCCTCCTCCTCGTT